CAAACATCCAGACGCGAAACAATTAATTGTAGGACATACAAACACTTGCTGAAACCAGCAGCGCTGCATTCAAATACTTTGCAACTGCGCCACTGAGTCGTCATTTCTTACCTATCTATTGCTGCCATCTCTAAGCTAGTGCTGCCAAACACTCACCTGCAGGCGATGCTTTTATTAAGGAATATTAGTTACGAATACAAACATCTTTACCGACAAAAAGCTGCTGTCTATGCTCTACAATATATGAACTTCGGAGAGGGTGCAACTACAAAACAGGATTCCGCGATCCTCTTCACTAGCATACGGCATTGCACCCAAATATTGCTAATTAACCTCGGTCCCGAATATAAAGCTCTGTTTTTGTCGTTTTGGTGTCCATCACAGTCTAAAAATTGAAATATTAACATTACATCGTAAGTACCACAAAAATGTTAATACGACAATAAATTTATAGTTTAATCTTTGTCGCATGAATGCTAGAGATATGTGTAGGCGAAATTGTGTATTTATTATTTGTCTATGTGTGTTAGCTGCGTACCGGCGACACGCGTCCCGATATTAAAAGACAGTAGAAGGCATTTCTAGTACCTTATTATTTCGATTTCTGTAGTAAGTACATAATATTCCAGATATGATAATATTTTAACTTTATTGTGAACAAATGTGATAGTTGTTGTCAAACGCTAACGTTACGGCTCCGTGGCGCAGTGGCTTAGCAATGAGTTGCGGCAGTGCTAAGGGCCGCGTACGAAACAAGTATTAGTACGGTCTACAAGTAATTGTGTCGGGTCTGGATGTTTGTGCTTGTGACATTTATGTATATAAACTGCCCCCACTATACAAGAGAAAATGCTTGTGTGGTAAAGTGTTTTAAAAAAACAAATAAATAAATATAATATAAATGGTAAATAAAATAAAAATGGTAAATAAATAAAAGGCCTTGGTGTGGTAGCAATTATTCGTGGATCCTGGATTAAATATAATATAGTGCCGATAGTTTAACTTGCCCAGATCAGACAAATCTCTCTGGAATTGTTCCATAATCGACTCTTATGATAGGCACTGGATGAGACGCGGTAATGGATTCTCCCTCGTTACCATCACACAGCTAAATTCAGTAGACTACTTGAGAATTAATCGTTTTATCACCAGGCAGCCGCTATTTACATGCTTTATATTGCTTGATATGACCTGAATGATCCACATGTGTATTATGGTCGCCACACAGGTCAGTTCAACTAATCATTCCAACTGATCAGTTCAAACTAAAACTGTTGATATTTTTTTAAATTATTGGATTTTCAATATATGGATTAATAAACTTATATATAAAACTCCGATATTGATATCTACATTTATAATTATCGATATATCGAAAATTCAATATTGCAAAAAATATCAAGTTTTAGTTTGAACTGATCAGTTGAAATGATCAGTTGAACTGACCGCGTGTGGCGTCCATAAGTGTTATGGAATTTTGTAATTAGTTTTTCGCCCACTTTCAGACGTCTCATTACAATAATTTTCATAACTGAAACAGAAATAGAATTTTTTTATTCAATATGGATTTTAAATAAACTATTGCAAGTTTTAGTTTGAACTGATCAGTTGAAATGATCAGTTGAACTGACCGCGTGTGGCGTCCATAAGTGTTATGGAATTTTGTAATTCGTTTTTCGCCCACTTTCAGACGTCTCATTACAATAATTTTCATAACTGAAACAGAAATAGAATTTTTTTATTCAATATGGATTTTAAATAATACTTATTGAAAGTTACTTTTTTTCATTTACCCACTGGTTCGCAAAAAAACCTCTGTCCTGGGAAGAACTAGCAAGGAACCCATGGACAGGGACAATTTTTTTAAATAAGTGCTTACCATCATGTACGTTACAATTAACAACACAAAACCAATTAGAAATAGCTTGGTAGCGATCACCCTTCCCGGGGGTTATTATCATCGACACATTCCTTAATATTATAATAATTAATAGCCCTTTTTATATAAACTTAGTTTAATAAAGTTTTTGAACTTTGTGCATGTCAAATTTTGTGTGTGCCATACTAAATGACCCTAAATATTCTCACTAGGATGGTCACAGCTCTGGATCAATGCATATCGTTTCAAGTTTTTTTAAAGTAATATTATTGATTATTAGCGACCCCACCTTGGCTTCGTCTAAATCGGGTTTGACAAAATGGTCTTATTTAGATTCAAGATAACCATCAAAGATCATTTATTTTTACAGATTGAGACTTTTGAAAAATTTCTTCCAAGTTATCGTATGAAACACAGACTTGATCACTTGTGGCCTTGCTCTCTGTTTTCATGCTCATCTGTTCGTGAAACTTCATTAGAACCGGTTTAGCCATTCCGAAGGTCAGCACAAATAGACAGACAGAGAGATAGTCAAGATAATTTTAACAATGGTTGGTTACTCATAGGATATTCCCTTCAATCCCCATAAAAATCCCATGCAGTCGCATGCGCCCGGCAAATCTCGAGCGGTCGCATGCGAACGCACCCAACCACAGCACTTAAAACCATTAAAACTTATATTTAGAGGCTACTTTTCTATGAAGAAGTTAGACATTATAAAAAGTCAGGTTTTACTTCATTACAAAAAGATTTTATTGTATTTTGATAACAAAAAAAAAACATACCAAGCGTATGTCGGCAGCGTGAAAATCACAATTATTTCAATATATATTACTCGAAATTATTTACGTAAAAAAAAAAATTATATTCACACAAAAACTTTCATTACAATTTTATAATAAAACACTATACTAAAACACTAATAAAACACTAGAAAAATCCAAAAATCCACAAAATAACATTCACGCGAAAATGGCGTACGAAATGAACGTAGATTATAAATAAATATCCATAGAATAACAAACTTTTTATTGCACTAGAAGATAGAAAATTTCATATTGATTCTATAATGCCAAACTTCTTCATAGAAAAGTAGTCTCTATATAAAATTTTATATGGGTTAAAGTGCTGTGGGTGGGTGCGATCATATTTGACCTCTTGAATTTTGACGGAATATCGAAGCGGTCCAATTTGGACGCTTGCCGTTTGAGAGGTTATTTCGACAAAAAAACCATAGTTATTATGGTTGGTTCCGGAACGTTATTACAACGTCTAAAACAAACTTTTTCTGATGAATGATAATCACGCAATTTTCTTCAGATTCCTAAATTTAGCCAACCTAATAAAACTAAAGAGAACATTTTTTCACAATTTTTTTTATTTAAACATACGTTTATACGTTCTATTTTAATTAGGTTAGTTCTATTAAATATTCTTGATTACTTTTCGCATTATGACTTCCCGATATTGTTTAGCCCTTGCCTTAAAAAGGAGAATTTTTCCATGCAAATGAGTGAAATCAACCAATCTATGAAACGGAAAACTAAGATGAGTTGTGACAGCTCTCCAGCGCCCACGGTCTTGTTACAAAGATCAGTTGCTATGCAAGCTGTAAGAAATTTATATAAAAATTAATTTTTGGTCATAAAAATGGTTATTAAATTAACAACAATCATAAATCGATTAGCCTCGGGTGGAATTCAAACCACTACTTGTCCTATTTGTGTAACCAAATACTCTAATTACTGACTTACGCGGTTAACAAATTACATATGTATAAGTATGACTTTGTTTTGTCCATGTTCATCTTAAGACCTATCCGTTGGGAGGCACTATTGAGGTCATTGAGCATAGTGCTTAAGTCCTCCAGCGATTCTGCCATAAGGACTATATCGTCGACAAATCGAAGGTGAGTGATGTACTCGCCATTGATGTTAATACCGGTATCCTTTCCAGTCCAGTAGCTTGAAAACGTCTTCCAAAGCAGCGGTGAAGAGTTTCGGGGATATAACGTCACACAGCGAGCTATGGAGAGGGCTATGCTCGGAGTTTTTCTGCGTGATAGACTCAGAAATGAGGATATCCGCAGTAAAACCAGAGTGACCGACATAGCCCAACGGATTAGTAAGCTGAAGTGGCAATGGGCCGGCCATATAGCTCGAAGAACCGATAACCGATGGGGAAGAAAGGTTCTCGAGTGGCAGCCTCGTACCGGTAGGCGTAGTGTAGGGCGACCCCCCACTAGATGGAGTGACGACCTGGTAAGATATGCAGGAAGTCGATGGATGCAGGTGGCTCAGGACCGTGCTTTGTGGCATTACTTGGGGGAGGCCTATGTTCAGCAGTGGACTTGTGAAGGGCTGTAATGAATGAATGAATGAAAAAGTATGACTTTAATAAGCGACACACCAGTCCAAGCTTAAGATTATATTTTAACCGAAGAACCAGTAACAAAACTAAAGTTTTCAAAGTAATTACATTAAAATATTATTTTTTTATCATTGATAGTTATTTTCGTAATTTTACTCCCTCGTTCTTTGTCAGCCGGTCCAAAGGCATAGGGCACCACATTATAACATTTTCAAATGTCTATAGTTATTCATTCAGAGACTTAGCTCAATCTTTATCTTTGCGCGTCAAGTTGCTGTCATCCTCCATCCATCCAATGATCTGGCCAGGGCAGGTCCTACATCATGTTCCTATTTCTTTTTCATTTTTGATTAACTAAATTATTGGACAAGACAACTGCTTATACAAATCTTGCACTGTTATGGCTTTTTTTTAAAGAAAAATGTGACACGAGCACACAGTTCCACCTGATTTTAAGTGAATGCTATGTTATCTAATCTCCATTAGGAATCAAAATACAGATTTTTTGTCACCCCAGAAGGCTAAGATGCTTCGTTTCCAGTATAGAAGTTCTCCGGTTCTCAACACTCACCATACGAAACCCCGGCAGCATTAAGCTGCTATTTTACGCTGGTTATCTGTGAGAGCGTGGTCCTTTTCCAGTCTAGCCATTCCACCATGCACAACCATGATATAACTGGAGCATAGCATCTACCACGCAATAATAATAATAAGCATACGTAGTAAATATTTATGAATGGATCCTTTTCAGAAGTCGCCCGTAGACTTCGAGCACCAGGGGCGTGCCTTTTGGGCGTTGTTAAGACTGTGTACGCGCCACTCGAGCGTGCCGAACGACTTTTTTTGCAGATGAACAATCTTTCCACAATGATTAGCCAGGTGAGAATATTTTGTAAATGTTGCTTTAAGTTCAAACTGAGGACAGGGTTAGTAAAACTTTTAGTTTGAATCTACTGTTGTATATTGAGGTTCTTGTCATCCACGCGTTGACAGCGGGTGATAATCCATAACTCCGTAATGATGGATAACCCGATGAATGATGAAATCTGTAAAAACCGACTAATTTACTGTTTGAGATCTCGTATGACCTTCGATGGATGGTGACATAAACTTAAGCATCGTGTAATAAAGTGTGCCGCTCACACAGCTGATGCTACGTCATAGTTGTGAAACATCCTACGATCGCTTCATGGTAATACTGTAAACTATTTAGTTATTCTAACTGCCTAAAAGTGTTAATACTATTTTTAGGCTGATTTTTTCAAACGTCAGATAAAATTTATCCATCGTATAAAGTAGAACCTGACTGATTCAAAAAACTGGACAAGTGGATGTCGAGTCACGCACAAAGTAGAGGTAGGGTTCCGTAGTTTTCCCGTCACAAAATGTGCATATTAAGTGAGTTCGCGATTCGACCGCTATAATGACTAAAATGGTCCTAAATGGGATGATGGTAACTGAAGAACTTATTTTACAATCAAACTTACGGGGAGTAGTATTCAAAAAAGATTTAAAAAAATCGACTTTGAAAATAATTCAATCTACATCAAATCATTAACATACCAAGTCCGTACAAATACGTTCAAAGTTCGACCATCTATCTATATATTCCCGGCAGTGCAACCCTAAGATATATTTGATCGTAAGGAACCTTCCCGTAAACCATCACTGCCCTAAATTATCTTAAGGGTCGCCCGCGTAAACCACGACTACCACGAATGAAACTGTATGAGGCTATATGATTGTTTGAATACTTTGAATGAGGCCTACAATAACTGTGCGAAAGTCGTAAGTAAGAAAGATCTAACCTGCCTATCCCGCATAGAAAAAAATAAAGCTATAGTAGTAATACATATAAGTCGTTTTCGTAAATTGTTTATTTCTTACTGTTTACAATAATATTACAAAGTTATAATGTATCTAGTTTTAGGTCATTTTCTATGGAGTTGTAACGTAATTTTTACTTATCTAAGTGCATTTTATAAGTTGGTCGCCTATTACTCGTTAATTTGTTAATTCTATTTAGCTGTGTAAATATTTCACAAATGGACTTCTGAATCGGAAACATATTCTTCCTTATCCCCCCCTCACCTCAATTTTTTTAAAAGACCTATCCAACGATACCTCACACGATGGAATAGACGGATAAAAAAAATCATCCTCAATTTACCTTTATGGGAGGAACCCAAAATAAAAATGTTTTAAGACTTTATTTCACAGTATTGTAGGCGTGATTTATATCTATAACTGTGCTAAATTACAGATTTGTAGCACCAGGGGTCTCTCAGTAAAACCGCGGACGAACTTACAGATGGACATTGCTAAACTATAAGGATTCCTTGTTGTTTAACTACGGAACCCTAAAAAGAAAACAATTGATCAATTTCATTCCTATAACTGTAATTTTTAATACGTGGTAGAGCCATGTTGCTGTTATATTATGATTGTAGCGCGAATAGGTCAGCTCGACTGGGGTCACTCTCTTAAAGAATACCAGCGTAAAATGGCAGCTCAATGCTGCTGTGTTTCGTATGGTGAGTGTAAAGGAGACCCTTTTAACTTAATACGAGCCATTCCATCCTAGTCCTCAGTGGTGATGACATATCTGTATTTTGATACTTAATAACGGGTGATCGCTATCAAGCTATTTCTAATTTGTCTTGTGTTGTTTGTTTTTTTTTTTAAATTTAATTGTAAACATGATTGTAAGCTATTATTGGAAAAAAAACAGTCCCGCCGGGTTTCTTGCTGGTTCTTCCCAGGACAGAGGTTTTTTTTTGCGAACCAGTAGTAAATGAAAAAAGTGACTTGCAATAAGTGTTGTTATAATCTACATTGAATAAAAAAGTTTCTGTTTCTGTTTCTAATCGAGGATATATGTAGATGTGTATGGGCCGCAGCATTCACTTACTATCAGGTGAGCTGTGTGCTTGTATGTCACCTTAATCCTATAAAAAAATAGGCCCACAATACATTTTTATGATTAAATTATAAGTATATGATAACAATCTTTCTTATTTAAATCTTTTTTCAGTTACTGGTATTTACTGCGTGCGACCGACTTTTCGTGTCCCAAGGAAGACTGACGTGCCTCTACTCGCTCATGTTTTACAACGTCATCACATATTCAGTTAATTACGTGCGAGAAATATGCACCAAAGAAGACTGGTCACCATACGTCAATGTCACCCGACATTCCCGTGTCAAGCACCTCGCCATGTCAGCCACAAAAATTGTCCTCGAATGGACTAAAGCTGTTACCTTCATAGTGACAGTCACCTTTATTCTCCTCACGCTTGGTCTTGAACAAGGGCTGGAGCATTTTCGACCTACAGCATTATACATAGCTATTACCGGCACTTATTACCTTCTAACAGAAAGAACTTTCCTTGAATTGTGGCCCATCGCGTTGTCTGCAATGAAGTTGGAGAGACTGGAGGGTATGGAGGCGCTATATTGTGGTGTTTGGGCTAGAGGTGTGACCACGGCGCTGGCTGTACCATTGGTGCCGGCGTTGGCGTGGTGGGAACGTTGGAGGTTGTCCTTTCTAGTTTTATACGTGTGTGTCTTTATTCATGGAAGGCATAGGTTAGGGGAGGCACTTGTTAAAATGAATGAAGCTTGTGATTCATTGGCGAAGTTCCGACGAGCTACGCCTGAAGAACTGTCTACACTTGAGGATGTGTGCGCAGTTTGCCTTGGCAGTATGAAGTCAGCCCGCGTCACTCCTTGTGCCCACTTCTTCCACGCAGATTGTTTAAGGCGATGTCTTGCGACATCTGACAGATGTCCAATTTGCATGAGACCGTACGTCTTTTGCTGATCGCTGCAAGTTAATGTTGAGACGAAGACTGGTTTGCTTCCGATACTTTGATTGAAATTGGTCTAAGCTTTCCAAAATTGTGTTTGTAATGATTTTGAACGTCTTACGCTTTTATTTGATGTGATTTAGGTTAATTTTTTTCATGCGCCTTAGCAAGTCTATTGAAAATCTATATGATACATAAATATTTGTTAATGATAGGATACTTATTTTGGATTATTATAGTGTGTACATAAATTTTATTATTGTAATTACATATTATGTTAAATTATAGCAAGGAATAGATCAGTATTAATTTGTTTATAACATCTTAATAATTTTTGCTGTTTTGTTATATTTTAAAAAGCTAATATAATATAATTATTTAGATATATTATAAACCCTAAAAGGGTCCAAGTTAATGCTAATTTTGTACGAATTTGATGAAATAAATTAAATACATTTTTTATTACTCGTTTTTTTTACTAGCTTTTACCCGCGAATTCTTTTGCATAGAACTTAAACAATAATTTCATCATCAACATTACAGCCCGTCACAAGTCCATTGCTGAACATAGGCCTCCCCCAAGGAATATCACAAAGCACGGTCCTGAGCCACCTGCATCTATAGACTTCCTGCATGTCTTACCAGGTCGTCGCTTCATCTAGTGGGGGGTCGCCCTACACTTTGCCTACCAGTAAGAGGCTGCCACTTTAGAACCTTTTTTCCCTATCGTCGGTATCGGTTCTTCGAGCTATATTGTGGGCCATTGCCACAGCTTGCTAATCCGTTGGGCTATGTCAGTCGCTCTGGTTATACTGCGGATATACTCATTTCTAAAGATAATTCAGAGAAACCCCAAGTATAGCCCTATTCATAGCTCGCTGAGTGACTTTGAGGTTCCTTATAAGGTCAGCAGTGAAGGACCACGTCTCAGATCCATAAGTCATTACTCGTAATACGCAGTGGTTGTACAATCTCGTTTTCAAGTATGAGGTATATCTGACGAGAAGATCCCATGTAGCACACAAGTGGTATAAGAAAGCGCTACTGTAGCCGCTTAACAGATATATGTAATGGCTTCACCTTCTTAAGTAAGTGCTACAGTAGCTATAGAGAACTTCTCAATCGCTTCTATGCCACAGAAAAGGGCCTACTTTATACGGGCTTCAGTGCTACAGCAGCGGTACCATAGCGGCATGGTGAGTTTGTAGCGATTGTTAGCGATACAAAAGTGCGTGAAATGTGATTTTTGAAGCTAAAAGATATACAAGAAGTTCTTGTTTTTCAAGAATTTGCACATGAATGCGACGCGACTGTAACTCGTAGCTAAATCTTAGAGCATCTTAAAGGTGTATTTTTATATAATATATTATAATTATTATAAGATTGAGTGACAGAATATAAATCACAAATATTACTTTAAATTGATCGTGATGTGTATAATAATTTAATTTCACTTGAATATGTAGAATATTATTGCGAACATCAGTTTTCTGTCAAAATATGCATCGATTAAGCCAAATTTTTCATACCCTCGCGAAACCTGTAAAATTTGCAGTAATTAATTTATTATAAATTATCTTACTCAATTGCATTAAAATTTTAACATTCATTTTCAGATTCTTTTCGATTGAGTTATTGGAACTTGTGGTCAATGTATTACTGCATGAAATTCAAAAGGGTTTATTTATTGTGAAAATTATGCTCTCTAACATAAGAAAAACAATTGTTTTATTGACATACGTAATTCATTAAATACTGCCATTTGCGCTTGTGATGATTATTTTAGAGCTTTTAGATCTACAATCACCAAACATTTGAATATTTTTACTAATTTTGAGGTACAAGAGCACTTTAAGAACCATTTTGAGTCATACTCAGAAAAAGTGTACATTTTAAATTTTGTAACTAAACTGATATGTAACGATACTGAGAATACTCGTAACGAAACTAATCTCTTAAGGTATAGTACCCATTAAACTAAGTACAGATTATAGATTGGGCTAATAAAACACTTGTTTGGTTTAATTAGTCATATTTGTATTAATTGAAATAATATTTAGACTAACCAAAATAATAATTTTCTAAAAAATTAACATCGGTGAATTAGATAAAAAACTAGGAATAAATGGAATGTTAACAAATATTAATTTTTCACATTAAAAACCTAATATAAAAATACCTCGGTATAAAGAACGAAACGTGATGATGGACGAATATTCACGAGATCAAAATGAAGTCTAATAATTTATTAAAAGATATCAAAATTTGAGTCATTGTGACTAGCATCATTATGATTATTATTTTTGAACAAATATATATTATCATGGGTAGACAAAAAAATATTTCGAAGACATGTGAAGTTCGCCAACACGCATTGGGGCAGCGTGGCAGACACTTTCTTGCCCTAAACCCCTCTCAGAAATGAGGGGAGGCCTGTGCCCAGCAGTGGGACGTATATAGGCTGTAACTTTACTTTTACTTTACTTTATGGATAGGATCAATTTTATGCACTGACGAGACTCCTGGTGAAGCAAAATTAAAGTATCGTTAATTGTCTGGATTCAATCTAATATCCGATAAAATAGTGACTTTATTTTTGGGTTTTGTTGTAATGTCTGATTATAGGGACTATTGTCACTTTCAGCATAAACGATTTCTTCATCAGTGTCACAAGATTCGCTATCAAATGTTTTACTCTTTTTACCTACCTTTGGTGGTTTATTCTCTTTTTCTCTTATTACTTTTTTATATCTGTCAGACGTCAATTTTTGTTTCTGAATATCCTGAACATTTGATGTTCTTTTTACCTCCATTTCAACACTTTTTTTCTATAATAATCTTCTTTTTCCTTTAATTTTTCTATCATAATTCTTCTTTTTTCTTTTCTTTTTTTGAAAAATACAACTTTTGTTGAAATAAATACAAATTAGACTAGTTTTACTAATTTATTAATTAAATTGATTTTATTGACTTCGTTGTTTTATTTGCAGTAAAGAAAAAACTGCTAAAAAGGAGTAAATACCACAACGACGTATTATAACGACATATTAAATATTATTTAAGTAGTAGTATGTAATTACATACTTTATTTGTTTTTGTGAACTAAGCTTAACAATTTCTCAGTTTCGTAACGTTACGCAATATAACGAAATTGAGAATAAAATCTGAGAAATTATAACCTCTAAAACTATTTTTACGTAAACCAAGTGTTGCACAAACAAACACCGAGTGTATTCGTTATGATATTACAAAAAATAATAAAAGGATTTAATTAGTAAACAAAAATTATAATAAACTTTCCAAAATAATAGCTGTTTATCACCCTGAGATAGTTTTTGTGAATATTCACGTGATAACAAATCTTGAGTCCACGGTTGTGACTAAAACACAATGACCGCGGCGGCATAATTTTGACGTAGTTACTAGTGTTGCCGGAATAGGATAACATATTTCTACTCTTTTAAATAAATGTGTTCTTAATTTTACTACACGTTTCGAAACCTGAGTAACGCAACTTTACAATTTTGGGACATTATTAATTTAATTAAAATAAATTATTTTTTAAATGACTTACAAATGAATTAGGTCGAGTTTAATTACTTGATTCAACAGGAGTAATATGGCCACAGCCATGTTAAATAAAGCTTATTAATATTTGTAACAACTTGACTCTGAAAAAGTAAAATGGTCACTGGGACGCTAAAAAAATGTTCGATAGCATTTTTACAAAAATAATGATCACAAAAAATTTATTCCGTTTCTAAAAATTAAAGTTAAAATACCAAAAAATTCTTCACATTAATAGACTAATAAATATTTAATTTTATAAATATGATAAAAAACAATTCCCCTTGTTGTTATATTAAAGTATGAGTTCGCGGGACAAGAAAAGATAACAAATGTACATCTTTTCTGAGTATGACCTTTTTACTATCGAACCATTTTAAAGTTCGTTTGTAATTTTAATTAATTTTATTAACACACCCTAGATAAAATAGTTAATAAATAATTCATGAAATAATTAGAATTCTTGTACAGACTTCAGTGTATTAATGTTAATTCTGAGAATTTTATTTACCTAGTATAATGCAAACCCAAGTTACCTATGAGGGTTCAAAATAACGACGAAGCGCTTCGAAAAAAGGTAGGTAGTGATTCGTTTTGGTTTGGTTGGCTTGTCTTGGTGGGGGTGCTACTGTGCCCCCCATAGATATAGGAAAGAAGGTGCCCCAGATACAGGTTACATTAAAAACTCTTATAGCCTTAAAAACATCTTTGCTTAATGCAGACAGTGGCTATATTTTCGCGTTATATTTCACAAATATACCGCTTTTGATGCTTCTGTCAAGCTATAATTTTCCAATACGGTAAAAGTGATTTTTAAGATCACACAGCTTTACTAGATCAGCAAAGACTGAACTTCAGATTCAAGTTTTTCCCGGCACTCGGAGACGTTTTCCCGCGAAATATTAGCTCAGCCGGTGTAAAGAGCATCACCAGTGCTGTCATTTGCATAGCAATGAATGTTACGGGTTTGTAACATATCATTGATATGCAGAAGAAACAGCGTTGGCGATAGCACGCAGCCTTGTGGAACACCAGCATTAATAGGCTTGCAATCGGAGCTTGCACCGTCTACAACGACCTTGATGCCCCGATCTGCAAGAAAGCTGGTGATCCAATCGCACAATTACTCGGGAAGCCCATACGAAGCGAGCTTCGAAAGAAGCGCTTTGTGCCAAACCCGATCGAAGGCCTTCGCAATGTCCAAACTAACGAACGGCCAATGCCTCTCCCTTGGACTCTACTGCCTCCGCCCATCTGTGAGTTAGGTAGACCAGAAGATTACCAGCTGACCAACCACGGCGAAAACCGTATTGGCGGTCACTAATCAGCTGGTGATCCTCAAGGTACCTCATGAGCTGGCAGTTTACAATGGACTCCATTGTTTTGGAGAACAAGGAGGTGATGGCGATAGGCCGGTAGTTGGACGGGTCTGAGCGGTTGCCTTTTT